GCCTGTAACTGACTGTGTGTGTAACTGCCTGTAACTGTGTGTGTTTGTGGCTGTAACTATGTGTATGACTGTCTGCCTGTGACCGTGTGTGTGACTGTATATGTGACTGTCTGCCTGTAACAGTGTGCGGGACTGTGTGTAACTGCTTGAAACTGACTGTGTGTGTGTGTGTAACTCTCTACCTGTAACTGTGTGTATGACTGCCTGTGACTATATGTGTGACTGTCTGCATGTGACTGTGTGCGTGTGACTGTCTGCTTGTAACTGTGTGTGACTGTCTGTCTGTAACTGTGTGTGAGGGGGTGCAGGGATTTTGTAGAGGGGGCAGGGGTTTTAAAAAGTTTACAAATTTGTTCAATACATTTTTAAAAAAATGTAAAAAATAAAAAAATATAACACATTTTAAAACTTTAGTAGTTTTTTTTGTTGTTGGGAGAAGCGGGGGGGGTAAGGGGGTGCCAAACCCAGGACCCGCCCCGGGTGCCACATGCCCTAGGTACGCCCCTGCCCACACACACACACACACACACACAGTGCCTTCACACACAACGCCTGCACACACAGCACCTTCACACACAGCGCCTGCACACACACAGCGCCTTCACACACAGCACCTACACACATCACCCTCACACACACAGTAGTGTGTGTGTACATGTATATATATGTATATGTATATATAGTTATATGTTTATATATATATATACGCGGCGTGTGTGTTTCTGCTTTAGGGTGCACACCCTTATACAATAGGCTACGTACGCCTATGGGAGCGACCACCACTCCCATCCTCTGCCCACCAGATGTATTGGAGGAACCCGTTCACAGTATGTCTTTCCTCCATGACAGTTAGGCCCTGCCCCCACATACTGTTCTCTTTTAATTGACATAGTAACACATATGTGGGTACTATACAGTTCACATCAGTGAGAATTAAAAACGCAGAATAAAAAAGACAAAGGGCCTAGCAAGTCTGGCAGATGACATGCCTGTTTAATACACTAATAATACTTTATACAGTTGAACGATTTTAGCATTTGTGCAAAAGATGGTATGTACAAGAGACAGTCAGAATCCAAGAAAAATTTCACAGTTATTTCCTCATTAAAGATTCCTCATATCTCTCAAGCAAAGACATGCTGGCATTTCGGTTCTGGACTGCCCTTACAGGTGGAATCAGTCTGAAATTCTTCAGAATATGTTCTCTCTGTAATGGCACAAGTGAGCAAAAATTATTTTCAGACCTGAGCGGGGATTTACCGAAGGCCAGGCTACTGAGTTTCTCTAAGGTTTTGTCCGTTCTCAGGGATCTCATATTCTTTGTTTTTGTTGCAATGCATTAACTTGGCTTTCCCCAAGTAAAAAGGGTAACCCAGGCGTGGACCCCGTGCTTACAGTGCCTAGAGGGGTATCAGCTAAACCTCAGTGATGAGGCCCAAAGAAGATCATTTGGGGGTTGCTCTATGTCTTGTGCAGAGAGAACTTGCTGGCATTTCGGTTATGGACTGCCCTTACGGGTGGGATCAGTCTGATATGCTTCAGAATATATTCTCTCTTTAATAGCACAAGCGAGCAGAAACTATTTTGAAACCTGAGCAGAGATTTACCGAAGAGTAAGCTACTGAGTTTCTCTAAGCTTTTGTCCATTCTCATCGTTCTCATATTCTTTGTTTTTGTTGCAAAGACGTGTATCATTCTTCCCAGCAAATATGCTATGGCTTACAATTTATAGCCACATAATGTTCATGGTCATTGCCCTGCAGTATTAAACAGTAACCACATGTCTTTAGTAACAGTCCAACATTGCTGCGGTGAGCAAAACTCATGCATTATTCACTCAAGAGTCATGGACAAACTTCTTCACAGATTTCTCCCTGAAAGACATGGATTCTGTTCACGGGATTAGCTCACCATCCATGCCCACCTTTTTCTGGTTTTATTATGCAGCCAGTCACACCAAGTCTCTCCCTTGCTCCGCTGGTGCTACCTAGTGCCTATCCTCTGCCTCCGACCTCCAAGAAGATTGTCTGTGCGAGGACTGGGAAACTGGGAGTTGTATTTTCCTGCTGAGCTAAAGCTGGGTTCTTCCCGCCCCCCAGGAGTGTGAGTGAACCCCTAGCATGGACTACAACTCCCGTCTCCCGGAACGCATCAGCTCTCACTCCCCGTCAGCCAGTGACCGGCCACTCCATTCCCCCTCTCGAAAGCTAAGAGATCCCGTCTCTACCTCCGTGGCAGGCAAGCAGGCAGAGACAGTGGCCGTTTTTAACATGATTTAGGCAGGGCTGGTGCAAGGATTTTTGGGTACATAGGCGAAGATGCATTTTTCCGCACTGCCCCAAAATAACATCTTCACCTGTGTGCCTCTTAACTTCCCTTTTGTGTTCCTTATCCCCTCTTTTAAAAGTCTTACCCCCTTTAGTGTATCTTATCTCCTATTTTTTCCCCATTGTGTGTCTCTTACAACCCCCTTGTGTGTCTCTTATCATGCCTCTTTGTATCACTCTTACATACTCCCACATTTTGTTTGTCTTACTCCTCCTTTGTGTGACTCCTTCTCTCCCAGCCCCATTGTGTATTTTGCTCTTCCCAGCTCCTGTGTGTGTGTCTCTTTCACTCCAAGCCCATCTGTCTCCCCCCCAAGCTCCACTGTGTGTCTCTTTCTCACCTTCTCAAGCCCCGCTGTGTGTTTCTTTCACATCATACACTCACAGACAAACACTTACACTCACTCACAGACACACACACACTAATTATTAATGTTTTTATAATTAAAAATGTTCCACCCAGCCTCCCTACCTGGAGAACTGGCGTGGGTCTGTGGGGTGTATCTCTGGGGTCCAGTGGGGCTGCTGGGAAGCATGTGGCTGTGATCTCCCTGCTCTGCTCCCTCGCACCTCGCGAGCTGTCTACTGGTGACGAGAGCCGGAATATGACTTTAGCAAATGGTGCGCAAGGGAGCAGAGCAGGGAGATCAGAGCTCCCTCGCCACCTCGGATTTAGACACAGCTGCACGCTGTGCCAGGGGTCCGTAACATGGCCTGGTAGGAGGGAGCGCTTCCCTCCTGCCAGTCACTAGAATCTTGCACCCAAAAGCTGGTGCGCCCTAAGGTGGTGCCTGTGCCACCTTATGGACGCGACGGCCCTGGATTTAGGGCAGCATGGGGGGCAATTGCCTCACTGCCCCCTGTCCCAGCCCGCCCCTGATTCTGTTTATCCACCAAACTGCTCAAGGAAAAGAGACAGAAATTAGTTGTAAAGTCTGTGGTACCTCAGCACCGAAAACATGAAATCTATGCTTTTTATAATGAATGCTAATTTGAACTGAGTACATCTGATTGAGAGATGGTGAAACCCATGTGGAATAGGAAATAAAAGAGCACCGTCAGGAAGACAGCCACTAGAGGTGAATTTAACCCTACAATGTAAACATTGCAGCTTCTACAGAACTTTAAAGGACCATAAAGAGGAAGTGACCTGGCTGAATTTAGTGGTCCTTTCAACATTGGGCCACATGTATAAAGAACAGTAGTTAAGAAAAGTACTAAAATGAAGCAATCGCCATGGAAATCAGTGGAAAGCTCCTGCTTCTCTGTTAGAATTTTGTCCCAACATTAATGGATATATTTGATGAACTACAATCTATAACATTAACGGAATAGCCACCACATATTTAACGATTACAAAAATGTAAGAACACATCACATTGAGTTAGTTAATCATCTAACACATACTTATATTAGCAAAGCAAAATAATGGCTATTCAACCAATGGCTATTTATCTATCTATCTATCTATCTATCTATCTATCATTTGGCTGATTGTCTGTATGTCTATCTATCTGTCTGTCTATCTCTATCTATTTATTCCTCCATAAATCCAATCTACCGATCTAGCCGTGCCTATGACTGTCTGCCTATCCATCCATTCAAATTATTTTTCTACCCGTCTGTCCATCCCTCCATCCATCAATCCATCCAATCTATCTACTCATTTTACAGTTTTTCTGTCCATCCATCCATTCATCCACCTATCAAGCCAGCCTATCCATCCATCTCTATGTCCATCTGACTATCTGTCGATCCATTCATTCAGTTTGTCTGTCTACCCATCCATTAATTGTTCAGTTTGTCCATCCATCCATTCATCTATTCATTTATCCAATCATTCTACTAATTTTTCAGTTTTTCTGTCCATACATCCATTCATCCACGTATCAAGCCAGCCTATCCATCCATCTGTATGTCCATCTGACTGTCTGTCGATCCATTCATTCAGTTTGTCTGTCTACCCATCCATTAATTGTTCAGTTTGTCCATCCATCCATTCATCTATTCATTTATCCAATCATTCTACTAATTTTTCAGTTTTTCTGTCCATACATCCATTCATCCACGTATCAAGCCAGCCTATCCATCCATCTGTATGTCCATCTGACTGTCTGTCGATCCATTCATTCAGTTTGTCTGTCTACCCATCCATTAATTGTTCAGTTTGTCCATCCATCCATTCATCTATTCATTTATCCAATCATTCTACTAATTTTTCAGTTTGTTCGTCCATACAGTCTGTCTATCCATCCATTTAATCTACCTGCCTATCTGTCCATCTGACCATCCATCAGTCTGTCTGTCTATCTATCTATTTAATTTACCTGTCTGTCTGTTCGTCTGTCCATTTGTGCATCCTTCAGTCTGTCTGTCTGTCTATCTATCCATCCATCTATCTTTTTCTATCCATCCATCCACCTGTCATTATTTTCTAAAACACACAATGTTCTTTCTTCTGCTATTAACACAATGACTGTCACTCTGTTGATTTGAAGAGAGAGTTTCCCCAAGTCATTGAGTAATAAAGACTCCTTGTTAATGCCACAGTTGACGTTCATCGTTCTTTTTTTTTTCCATTTGCTTTTGGAAGAGATTATGACAGATTGATTCACCACGCCCCATCTCAGCATAAATAGCTGCAGCAGGCAGCCGTCTGATCACAAGCATCCAACCTGCCACCCAAACAGCACCCATCACATCACAGAGAGGCATGTACTCCCACCGCACAAACAGACCCAGAAGAGTAAAGTCTGTTGACTCTATGCATTCGAGTTTTGATGAAAACCAGATAAATAATGAGGTGAGACACTGTATCATGCTGAATGAACTGTAAGTGCTGAAGAGCTGCAACTGGTGTGAGGCTTCCAATTCTATTTATTACTATTATCTTAAAGTCATTGCTGTAGGACTGTGGAAATTCATAGTAGCTGATAGTTATCATTTTATTTCGTGTATATCATCGAGATATAGAATAGTAGGTCATTTGTATTGACTGCACTTAGATTTTTATACTTTGCTCTTTAAAAAAAATGTTTTCCCAAAAAAAGTATACATATAAAAAAAGTATACATATTATTAATGTATCTCTTAATTATTATTTCATTTATTATTTTTGCTTTCAGATTTTGCCATACTGGAACAATAATACAATACAGTAGTAGGAAAATATATAAAAAGGGAAAAATACACACATTGTGCCAAAACAACAAAACACCAGGATATCAGCCGTCACAGAAAATATTGGTCACGCAGGACCACATAAATAAATACATTTTATTTATAATGTTATATAATATACAGGGAATTGTGAATAATTAGCAAAGAAATTACAAATTGTAGGGATACATCTGGAAAAATAGCTGATATGGAGATTTTTTATTCAATTAACATGTATAGCTTGGAGGAAAGACGAGACGGGGGATATGATAGAAACATTTAAATATATAAAGGGAATCAACACAGTAAAGGAGGAGACTATATTTAAAAGAAGAAAAACTACCACAACAAGAGGACATAGTCTTAAATTAGAGGAACAAAGGTTTAAAAATAATATCAGGAAGTATTACTTTACTGAGAGGGTAGTGGATGCATGGAATAAACTTCCAGCTGAAGTGGTAGAGGTTAACACAGTAAAGGAGTTTAAGCATGCGTGGGATAGGCATAAGGCTATCCTAACTATAAGATAAGGCTAGGGACTAATGAGAGTATTTTTAAAAAAATTAGGCAGGCTAGATGGGCTGAATGGTTCTTATCTGCTGTCAAATTCTGTTTCTATGTTTCAATTTGTTTGTTTTGTCCACAATTTGCAATTCAATTCTCTTGTCAATGCTCGATAATCTCTGGTATATTGAATATAGCTTTGCTATGTTTTTTTCAGCTTTTTTCTTGTGACTTGTGAGAATCTTTTCTTTATCTTCAAAACTGCAGACTGACAGTTGAGAAGATAGGAAACTAAACGATATTTCAAATTTCAGTTAGAAGTAACAAGTGTACATACGGTGTCACTCATTGGGATATTGTCACATAGCGATTTCAGAAGTAACAAGTATTCCGCCACAATGCTTAGAACGCTGACAACATGAAGGATCGACAGTTTGAAAGGTTTTAGGACTTACAAACTTGTCAATTACTTTAACCCCTTAAGGACCAAACTTCTGGAATAAAAGGGAATCATGACATGTCACACATGTCATGTGTCCTTAAGGGGTTAATATAACGCCTTTATAAAATGCAGGAAAATTCCTTATATGAATACTCCTAAGTCAACAAGAAGCCTGTTTTTTTTTTTTTTTAGGATTACAACCCTTAATGGCAGATAATAAATTTGCATTTATGATAATGACAATACAGATTAGATTACGCCTCCTTCTATTTAAAAAAAAAAATACAATGAAAATGACTATTTTTGTATAGAAATGTTTGTTTAAAATCTTTCTGGCTTGGTAGCCATTTTTTCTGCAATTCTAACTTCATATTTGGAATTGTGCACTTTTGCAAACAATTTAAAGACTTTAAAGATATGATAAGGGAGAAAAAAAACAAGCAAAAAACATTCTACAAAATAAATTCCTACTGACTCACAATTAGAAAGTTATTAGTAAGAATACTTTTAATGCTGTTCCACTGGTGTTGTCAAAGTTTTGAATAGAATAGAATTCTAGTCTGATTGTTGCTCAAGCTTAAAGAGCTGGATGTTGTCTCATTAGTCCGTTATATTCTGTAATTTCTATTATTTAGATTATTCCTGTTTCACTTAATTCTCTTTTAATTTTCTAAAGTATTTATTGTTACCATCAGTAGCACATACCAACGCTTTTGCCATTACCTTCATGTATTTTTTTTAAATAGTTCAACAAAACAGCCATTGCTTTTAGTTGTGGGGGACAAGCACTAGACCACTGTCTGACACCCACTAGAGGTGTGGGCATTGTAAAATTGATATAGTCATGTTACTTAGAAACTGAATTGTTTACCATAGCAAGACTGCAGGGGCATCATCTATGGCCCAGAATGACGTCATTAGGTGAACTGAGTTTGGTACATAGAGTGTCCCTTTAAGATCTTCATCAGCAATAGACTTGTGCAAAAAACCTTTGTACCAGATCGTCCAAATCAAAATCCTTTTAATAATTCACACTAAACGAATTGGCTCAAACAAATCTTTGCAAACGGGGAAAAAAAAAACAAAAAAATTGATTTCTTTGAAATGATCTGTTAATCTTAAAACCCTAATTTAGGCTGATATCAATACATTTCCAGCTTTTAGTTCAACCCTAACCATATTTAGGCGATGGGGGATTATTTGCTAAACCACAAATTGCTGACACAATCAACTAGCGAATTGCAAATGTTAGTCAAAAATAGCTAAATTGGAAAAATTCTGGAGCTGAGTTGTTTTTCCAAATTGTCTATGATACGGATTGGCAAAACCTTTTTTGTTTTACTTGCTGCGATGTCATATTATATCATGTATGGGGTTTATTGGGTTAATCTTGTAATCGCTGTGTTTTGACAAAATGTTATTTGTGAGTTCGCAAGAGACAGAAGTTCCAAAGTTCTGTTTGCCAGTACTCTTATTCACAAATAACATACTGGTCGGTTGGCATCTAAGTGATCTTATGACTTTGATAAATGTCAAAATGTTACTAATGTAATTGTAAGAGACTACAAGAGAGAATATTATGTTAGATTACGAAATAGGAAAAAGAAAAACGACATATTCCATATAGCCTCACTGCTGTTCCCTCATTCACTGTTCTGCTTGGATCTATAATTTCCAGTTTAGAATTTAAAGCTTACTAAATAAGGAATTGTATGTATAAAAACAGTATTTTAGTTAACTGGCCAATTTAGATGTATCTATTAAATGAAAAAAAAAAAAGAAGTTATGCTACATAGATTTCAATGGAAAAGGGTGAACGATTTAAAAGATTAAAACTGCAGAATTTCCTTCCAAGACTATGACAATGTTTGAGGACACATAAAATAATTGTAGGAAATGTCAAAGATAGATTCTCAATTAGTTGTTTTTTTTTTCTTCACTCCGTTCAGTTTTTTTTATGCTTTCAGAAATTCTAGGGAGTTTGATTAACAAAATTGTATCTTTTTTTTTTTCAAACCTAGTCTTTAGCCTTTAACGTCATAGGTTTAGAACAAATAACTCTCTCAGTCTAATTTCATTAAATTTGTAGTGGTATAAATTCTATAATTAATTTCAGATCATGAGATGGGTGATCTTGCTTGATCCAGACACTACTAGACTATATTTCAGGGAAATCTCTATGATAATACTACCCCTTCAACCCCCCTTCAAGTAATCCTTATTTTGTCTTATGATAGCTTTTGACTGGGTTGGGATTTTAGTTAAATTCATGATGAGTATTTCATAATGGTTTTTTCTTTTTTCTAATATACTCATTTTGGATTGGAGGGTGACAAAGCTGCGTTAAGCTAAAATGGCAGCTGGAAGGTTTTTGAATATTAGTTAGTGTGTTTGTATTACAATCCTCTCTTGATTGATTATTTGATAAAAGTTCTGTTGAAGCTAAACAACTGGCACCATTTATTTTTATGCCAGTGATTCTTCACGTCTTTTTTTAGAGAGGTCAAGAGGACTCTGAAATAAAATATAACTGTTTATGGATGTATCTTCACAGGGGTCCTTTGCGTAGGATAAATATGGAAAATATGAGAATGTTTTCACTGATAAATGTAAAATTTAGTAGTTAAAGGAACACTATAGGGTCAGAAGCACAAACATGTATTCCTGACCCTATAATGTAAAAACACCTAGCCTCTCTGCCCCCTCCCCCCCCCCCTTCTCCCTCTAAATAAAGTAAAATCATTGTTGTTTTCAAGTCAATTACATAGGAAATCATTGGACTGGATGAGAATGTCAAGGAGACAGATTAGGGGCAGAGCCAGCACAAGTCAAACACAGCCCTGGCCAATCAGCATCTCCTTTTAGAGATTAATTGAATCAATGCATCCGTATGACAAAAGTTAAATTTTAACATGCAGAGGGTGGAGACACTGAATGTGCAGCACTGACCCAGGAAGCACCTCTAGTAGCCATCTGAGGAGTGGCCACTAGAGGTATCCCTAGGTAATTTAAACACTGCATTTTCTCTGAAATGACAGTGTTTACTGCAAAAAGCCTGAAGGGAATGATTATACTCACCTGAACAAATACAATTAGCTGTAGTTGTTCTGGTGACTGTAGTGTCCCTTTAATAATAAATATGTTTTGTTATTCAAATGAAAGATTTCTGAGTTCTGTACATAATTGAATCCAATACATTTTTTTTAACTTGTTCATTATCTGCATTTTGGTTGCTTTGTAATTAGCCCATAAGGCGATTCAGAATTCAGGAATTCGGACGAATCACTGATTGTTCTAAATATGAATGAATCATCATTCCTTTGAAACTGAGTTCAAAAGTCCCTTCTATTCCCTCACATCCCCATGTGCTGGGCTGTGGGAGGTAAGATAGTGGTAAATTTGTGCAGCATGACTATATGGAATATATATACCTTGCACTTATAGTAGGAAATATAGATATATGGAATCATGAAACAAGGACCCAAAATCAGGACTGCCAAACTGATTACAGGACAGTTGGGCATTATGAAAACATATGAGGTGATATATCCTGTATAGACAAGCCATGTCAGCATTTTATAGCCTTTTCTATTTTAGTATTTCTGTATCTGTTTACTGTAGAAAAAAGTTTTAACAAAATCACATAATGCAGAATTGAACTACATGTGTGTGTTTCTCTTTAAATCTACACAACTGAAATGTGTATAAAATTATTCAAGTTAGTTATTCTAATAGACTTCTAGTGTTAAAAAAACAGATTACACTGCCCTCTACTGCTGCAAAATAAAAATGACATTTACAGGGTTTTTTACTGAAGTAAATTTAAATTTTTAAGGCCAAAATAGCTAAATGGAAATTGACCTTGAATCCTCACTTTAGTGAATAAGCCTGTTAGTGATTATTTGTACACATTTGCAGGATTGTTGCTTAAAGGGATACACTAATCATTCTAATCATGACATTTTATCCTGTAGCTTTTTGTAGTGGTTGTGGTACAGGGTGTCTTTGGATCCTGTCCCTCTGTTTTTCGCAAACTGTTTCAAATGGTTTGACAAAAAACGTGGCTTTACCAATACTCAAAGTCTGGCCCCTTTGGTACATTGAGTTAAGGTAGATATATTACTGTATTATCTACACAAATGTGGATGTCAGTGATGGGCTACAAATCCTGGAGGTATAAACGGCTTGAGTGGTTTAATTAAAAGGAAAAGTCACTGCACTGGTTGCTTCCAGCCTCCCAGCCTCATATTACTAAAGGCATGTCTTCAAAAACCACATAACTGTCATTGGAAACAGATTGGACAAAGTACCCTGCACAAAGTTGACCATTTGCAGTCACATTCCTTTCTGTATCCCATGTTGTGTTCCTAAATGGCTTTCCAAGTTTTAAAATAGGGGTTTTGGAAGCAAGCCCAGAACTTTGTAATAGTGAACGTTCCATTTATGGGACATTTCCCAGGGTCCCAGAGTAATTGTGTCTTACAGTCATGTGATTAGAGGAGCAGAGTTTTGTTGGAGTTAAGTTAACAAAAGTTAACTTAGTTAACAAAACTCAAAACCAAAAAAAAATAAAAATTGTCTAGATTGTTGTGATATTTAGAAAACAATTAAGGACACAAAATATTGTCTCGGTTTGTTTTTTGCTTAACACGTTAATGTTCTCACTTAAATTATTGTCCAATAATTCAATGGCTAAACGCTTTTAAGCTCTCCCAGAAAATTTGGATTTAATTTAAAATGTCTGTTTATTGTTATAATTCCACTTCCAGTTTATTAAAGCAAACTATACGAAGATAGAAGATAATAAGGAAAACAACAGTTTGTCCGAAAGAAGTCGATCTTCGGTTATTTTTTCTTTGAAAAATGAAGTCGACGGGCTTGTCAAAGCATTGAAACTCTTCCAGGTAAATGGAATTACTTTTTTAGATATGTGATTACAACTAGGATGGGAACAGTCCATCCATTTCTATTTTAAGCAAATACGTAACTTGTATGGTTTTATTGCAATTTTATGTTTTATTGGTAGGGATTGTGCTCAGCATTTTACTCAAAAGTAAAATATTTAGCAGTCATCAGCCATAACAACAACTTGCTTACATAAAATGTTATTTTATCTCTTTTTACAAGGAAAAGCATGTTAACCTGATTCATATCGAATCTCGAAAATCTAAAAGGAAAAACTCGGAATTCGAGATATTTGTGGATTGTGACAGCAACCGAGAGCAACTCAGCGAGATCTTCCAGTTACTAAAACCTCATATTAATGTCATCACTATGAATCCACACGAAAATTTCAGTGTCCAAGAAGATGGTAAGAAAGCCACAACTCAATCGAAGAAATGTTTTTTGTTTTGTTTTTTGCCTATTTTACAAAGAAAGACCAAGTATTTTATTTTCTTAGTGTGTTTTCTAAGTACAATGTAAAAACAAAAGAAAGCTGAATAGGCCTTTTAAAAGTGCATCATGACTTATTTCACTCTCCATAATACTATCGGTTATATATTAAACATTCAGCATGTTTACCAAATAATCAAAATACGTCCTAGTTACAATCTCTCTTCTTTGATCAGAAATGGAAAGCATTCAATGGTTTCCTAAAAAGATCTCGGATCTGGACAAGTGTGCAAACAGAGTATTGATGTATGGATCTGATCTCGATGCTGATCACCCAGTAAGTAACTAAAATGTTATATTATTTGAGTGTTATCAGAGAATTGTGGATTATAGATCTAGATTTTAAGGTAGTAAAAAACTCACCTTTTTCTTTTAGGGATTCAAAGACAACGTTTACCGCAAGAGGAGAAAGGATTTTGCAGATATTGCAATGAGCTACAGATAGTAAGTATAAATGCAATGTTTATATTAATTTATAGGCAGAAACCAGGGATATCCTGATTTACTTCCAACGTTTCAATGTGTCATCTGTGTGAGAAGCATGCTTTAGCCCAATACCTTTCAACCTCATCCATAAAAAGTATACATTAGTAATTCAAAACAAAATGTAACTCTTAGAGCCCCACTTAACGTCGCCTTTGGTCCAGTACTGATCTTCACCTGGCAGAGTAACAAATTTCTTTGAATGAAAATGCTGGCCGTGTTTAATGTACAAAAGCTGATTTAGCTGAAAATATATTAAAGGGTCAAAGAATAAAGGAGGGCTCTTAATTCACTATGGAGCGTTTATAGCCACCTCTAATTAGAGATGTCGCGAACCGTCCGCAAACTTCTCTCGAACGGTTCGCCATGGTTCGTCACAAACCGTTTGCGGCGAACTCTGGTCAGCAGACACATCCTGGCCAATCTCCGGCAGACCCTCCCTCCCAGACTCTCCCACCTCCTGGACAGCATCCATGTTGAAGCTGCCTTCAACATGGATGCTGTCCAGGAAGTAGGAGGGTCTGGGAGGGAGGGTCTGCCAGAGATTGGCCGGGATGTGTCAGCTGACCGGAGTTCGCCACAAACCGCGACGAACCGTTCGCGAGAAGTTCGTGGACGGTTAGCGACATCTCTACCTCTAATTCCTTGTATTATAGAAATAGCTGATGCACATTAGGAACTCATGGAACTGCTCATATTATTGTAAATACTATCTTTCTCCTATAGCGGTGATCCGATTCCACGTATTGAATTCACAGAGGAGGAAGTGAAGACTTGGGGGACAGTATTTCGAGAGCTCAATAAACTGTATCCAACCCACGCATGCCGAGAGTATCTTAAAAACCTTCCACTGCTGACCAAGTACTGTGGTTGCAGAGAGGACAATATTCCCCAACTGGAAGATGTATCTCGATTTCTCAAAGGTAAGAAGACTTACATACTTTTTGTTTTACTCCACCAAAGCTTCTTGCTCATCACTGGGTGATGGCTAGATTAGTCCCTGGAACAAGGACACTCTAAGGCAGGGGTGCCCAAAAGGTAGATCCCCAGATGTTGTAAAACTACAATTCCCATGATACTTTGCATGCTTTTAGAATGACAAAGCCCCTGCCCTAAGGCATGTGTTCAAGATATAATGCTCCGATGTGAGGCATTTACCAGGGGCTCCAGTGTCCTACTTTTTTAATATTTATAAAATGATACATTAAAGACCAATAATTGTTTGTTTTAATTTATTTTTTAAATTTTAATTTATAACCATGCATCCAACCTGTTTAACGTCAGGCTCCCCATGTAGAAGTGTTTTTTGGGAGTTTCATTGGCCACAAGGTGTTATTTTACTTAATTTTGTTAGTTAACACAACTGTGCAAATGTCACATTATCTCACTGTGGATTTATCGCCATAATGTGATGTCACCACGGGGGTTCCCTCAGACAATGCATATGGGCTATAAAATAATGCTTTGTAGAAGAAGATGAAATGTAAATTCAGCTTGGTTGAGATGCTTGTGAATGTGTAATTAATCTTATACATTTATGTATTTGTTTATTTTCAGAGCGCACAGGATTTACTATTCGTCCAGTGGCCGGCTACTTGTCTCCAAGAGATTTCTTAGCGGGATTAGCATTTCGGGTTTTTCATTGCACACAGTATGTCAGGCACAGTTCTGACCCACTTTACACCCCTGAGCCGTAAGTACTTTAAATAACTAAGATCAGAAAAGATTCCCGGGAGATTTATTAAACTGTCGTATTCGGAAAAGTGGTGCAAAGAAATGAAAGAGGAGAAGTTACTAATGGAATTGTTCATGCTAGTTCCACTGTAATCGCCCAACTTTTGGTACTTTGTACTAACTTTCCAAACATAAGAATTTGTTAACCTTTCACCAATGCATTCCTTTAGAAAGGATTACAATCTAGTTCTGAGTTGTAAAATGGAAGTGCGACAACAGGGATTTTTTGTGCTTTTATATAATAAAAAACATTTGTGTTTTATTACTTTAAACCCATTGTAGGGCAAAATGTTTAAAAAAAACTTCTAATGTAAAACGTTTTGATTAACAATCCAAAGACAAACTTTGACAAATAACATACACATTTATAAGTGATAACTTTGACGCAACAGAAATAAACATTAACTAATAATAGCTATTTATTAACCTGTTATGTAAGTATCTTGGAACTTGGTGACCTGATTTAGATGAAGGTGTTTAAATGTAAAACTCAGCAAATTCATTTTACCAACAGATGCCTCGATTTCATATTTTTGAATAAGCTTTTCAAATAATTTAATGTTTTAGAATACGCTTATTTTTTCAAAATATTAAAATATCAACAAATTATATCAATGTATCAAGACTTTTCCAATTATTATACATTTTTTAATAAGATTAAATCATTTTAAACGTTTATCCAAAAATATTAAATCATAAAGTATGTATTTTTCATTGGCTCCCCTAAATCACATGATGTGGTGACCCAAAGGAAAATCCATGTGATCAGTGTAGGGAGTAGGGACTTTCCAATATGTGTCAATACAGCATATTGGCCTTGATTTAATAAGCTTTCCAAATTATTCAATACTGTTAGAAAACCCTTCTAAAATGATTTATCTATAGACATCACCATTAGGTCTATGGGCAGTTTTGTAGATAAATAAATTGTAGTTTTTCTAACAATATTGAATCATTTAAAAATGAAAGCCAATGTTAAGTAATCCTTCATAAAATCCACTGGGTGAATGTCTCCTTATGTTTAGTAAATGGACACTAAGTCACCATGGTAGACAGTGTTGGAGTTATAAATTGGGTTCTGAAGATTTCCCAGTTTTAAACATTAAAACATTGTTTTCTTATTTTTTTAGGGACACTTGCCATGAGCTGTTGGGTCATGTTCCTCTCTTGGCAGAGCCAAGCTTTGCCCAGTTTTCTCAGGAGATTGGGTTGGCGTCTCTGGGAGCCTCGGATGAAGCTGTTCAGAAGCTTGCTACGGTATGCAGTGCATTTTGCCATGTAATTGCTGGAGTAAGATTCTTTTTTTTGTTAAATTAGCAATTGCCACTACTGCACAAATGGACACAAATCAATAAAAATAAATAAAAAAAAAGATATATTCACTAGGCATGATGATTTGATTAGGACATCCCAGACAGAGCTCTATACTATCATAAAGCACTCACACAACCCGCAGAAATGTGAATCTGAGGATGTGAATTCAAAAATGTGTAAAAAATGAATAGCTTTTTACACAAATCAGGTATTATCGCTAAAGTGGTTAAAGAAATTCTTTAAACACCTAAAGCACTTCAGCTTGCTTTATTTTACGAAGAGTGCAGAGTTCAACAGTAATTGGTACTTTTATAAATTATCCTTGTTACACCCCCCCCCCGGCAGTCAATCAGACAACCAGTCCTCTTACTTCCTGGTTGTTTAGCTCAGTGGAACTAAATCCAAGAGGCAGCAACTGCCCAGAGCACCTGCCTTGCAAATACTTTTCATTGTGCTGCTTTGGGAAGTCTGTGATTGGACAGCCAAAAAAAGTCTGGGCGGGGTTCGAAGGGGAGGGTTTTCAAAGGCTGCAAAGAGATCTTTTTTAGATATACCCCTATGAAGCAATTCATCACTAAATGTGGGAATGTTTTTCATTAGGGTATATCTACTAAACAGTGTTTTTGTTTTTATTTTGTATTTGGCATTAGAGTGTCGCTGTAAAGTACATAATTTAGTAAAGATTATTCAGGAGCAAATTCATTGTTCATCTAAATGTCTTCTCCACCATTTGTTTTACAGTGTTACTTTTTCACAGTGGAATTTGGTTTGTGCAAGCAAGAGGGTAAATTGAAGGTCTATGGAGCTGGGCTGCTATCCTCCATTAGTGAGCTGAAGGTAGGATATAAAATGATCCCCTGGATTCTAGAACCAACCAGATCCTTACAGAACATCTACCATCAGACACACGATAACTGCATAGTGCCTGGTTAATGGCAAACAGGGTATTTACTAAAGTAAGATTTGCCAACAACTCAAACTAAATTCAAAGGACAAATTTAGGCCAAAGGAAAACTCGTTTTCCTGACACTATATCATCCTTAGGACCCCCTCACCTTCAGGGCCCCACTCCCTTGGCGCCAAAGGGGTTAAAACCCCTTAAGCCACTTACCTTTATCCAGCGCCGGGCTCCCTCAGCGCTTGGGACCTCTCCTCCCCTGCCGACATCATCTCCTGAGTGGAGCGGAATGCGCATGGACGTCAAGAGCTGCGCGTGCATTCAAATAGTCCATATGAGAACATTTCTCAATGCTTTCCTATGGACGTTCTGCATGCTAGATGCGATTTTCGCATCCATCGTCGCAGAAGCGCCTCTAGCGGCTGTCAGGAAGACAGCCACTAGAGGTTGGATTAAACTTGCAATGTAAACATAGCAGTTTCTCTGAGTGACTATAGTGACTATAGTGTCCCTTTAAATTTCAGAAATGTGTTGTGTTAATATTTTCTTAATAACAGCTCTAAAATCTACAAGATATTTTTGAGACTCCTATGCACATATCTTATTATATATATATTCTAGTGCTTACAGAATAATGTTTTTTAGGAAACACCTAACTTTTGTTCACTTTTAAACTAGTTCCCAAAATAGGAAACAGAAGGAGGTTTAGATGCCCACCTTCTAAAGAGGGGCAGATTGAACTGCGTTAAACATATATTTAAAAATCTGGAACCATTTTAATCCATTGCTTTGTCTCTCGCAGCATTCTTTGTCTGGCAATGCCAAAGTGAAGCTATTTGATCCCATCTTGACCTGCAATCAAGAATGTATCATCACCACTTTTCAAGACGTTTATTTTTTTTCAGAAAGTTTTGAAGAAGCTAAGGAAAAAATGAGGTAACTATTTAGTGCTGGTTAAAAATATGGATTTATTTTTTAAACTCCATATTGTTACAGACTGAAATCCAAACAGAAAAAGTGAGACCATATAGCTAAACTGGAAAAGTCTCCATGTCAGCTAGTCACTGTTTGGCTATTTTAGCCTCAATCGTGCCATTCTCATTTCAATGTATTACATTTTGGAGTTTAGTGAATAAGCCAGCAGTATGGAACCTTATATTTAAGAATATTGACTAAACCAGGAATTCTTAACCTCTTGGCTCTTATTTCTTGTATGTAAATTACTCGTTAGATATCCCCGTTTTATAACTGTAAAGCACAGCGGAATATGTTAGCGCTATGTAGATGATAATAATAATATTGTGTTTACCAGCCTTAAAGGGTCATTCAAGGCTGCTAGGTGCACTGTGTAGGTTAGGTTACAGTTAGTTAAACTGGGTGGGTTTATATTATTAAAGGGAAACTCCGGGCTCCCACACGTTAGGTGCACTGTGTAGGTTAGGTTACAGTTAGTTATACCGGGTGGGTTTATATTATTAAAGGGACACTCCAGGCTCCCACACACGTTAGGTGCACTGTGTAAGTTAGTTTACAGTTAGTTATACTGCGTGAGGTTATATTATTAAAGGGACACTCCAGGATCCCACACACATTAGGTGCACAGTGTACGTTAGGTTACAGTTAGTTATACTGGGTGGGTTTATACTATTAAAGGGACACTCCAGGCCCCCACATACGTTAGGTATAATGTGTAGGTTAGATTTCAGTTAGTTATACTGGATGAGTTTATATTATTAAAGGGACACTCCAGACTCCCACACATTAGGTGCACTGTGTAGGTTAGGTTACAGTTAGTTATATTGGGTGGGTTTATATTATTAAAGGGGCATACCAGTCTCCTACACACACATCAGGAGCACTGTGTAGGTTAGGTTACCATGACAAATGTATAATTTAAAAAAAAAAAATTTTTTATTGTTTTTGCATATATTTTTAACACATTACTTTATAGATATCACACTTTAAAGGGACTCCAGGCCAGAACTGATATATTTTAAAAGTGGATAAAACATCTTGGAAACTGTAGTTCTGCAACAACTTTTGGCCACCTGACTCCCTGCTGCGTGAAATTAATATCCTGCTCTTTTTTTCCCCTTCCATCAGAGAATTTGCAAAAACCATTAAACGTCCATTTAGTTTGAAGTACAACCCATATACGCAGAGCGTTGAGATCCTGAAGGACACCAAAAGCATCACCAACGTGGTCAGTGATCTTCGCCACGAGCTGGACATCGTCAACGACGCCTTGAATAAAATGAACAAACAGCTGGGAGTTTAAAAGAATACGACAGAGGCTGAAATTAAGACCTTAGACCAACAGCTAGACAATATAAACCAGTAAATTTAATCCTGTGATTGCCTAACACTAACCAAGAGGGAGAACAGGAAAATGTCCTGACCTAGGGTGTATTCAATACCTGTGTTCCCCATGACCTTGGCCTAAAAATGTTAGATAAGAGGGATTGAGAATGATTATTGAGGGAAATGACTGAAAACTGATAGGGCAGAGTGTGGTTGGAACTAACCTGAAGCAATGCTAATTTAGCCGTTTTGGCATTGATACATATATGGCAGTCTAGGCAAATACTTCTATAGTGTATCCTTTTACAATAAGACAATCTGTTGATACTTTTAGATGTGCAGTATGTAAATGTATTGTATTCACTAAACAGGACGCTTAGGACGAAAATCCATTATAAAAATATCTCCAGTTCAGATGAGTCAGTTTTCCAATCTCTATAAGTCTTCAATTCGTCTTGCAATCCAGCTGGTGAGATTTAGAAGAGGTTGTTATGGTAGCACAGAATACAGTGGGTATTCGTATGCATCGGTTTCACTGTTCTTCCCACAACTGGTAATGAGACACTGGTTTAGAAAAAAATATATTAATGGTACTAGATACATTACCAGTTTTATTTATTTTGGTAAAATAGCATTAGAAGAATTAGAAATAGAGTTCTAAAGTACATATTTTAGACACAAATTAATTTTTTAATTTTACGCATTATGCATCATAACCATGCATTTCTAATGCTCATTTCTAAAAAATATTTGTTTTCTTGTTTAGTGTCAGAGTTAAATTAAGTCCATACAATACAAAAATACATGTTTTAATGAACAGAAATTGGATGGGATTGTATAGCTAACATTTTGGCCGTACTGCTCAATTGAAAAATTAGCTGTTTACACCTTAGGGTCGCTGGTTCGATACCGTGGTGGGTTAACTTAAAATTTTTATCTCTCCAATAATTACACAGTGAAATCTGAGAGTGCATGCAAAGAGATTTCTCTGTATTAAATTATATAGGTTATAATAGATATTATTTTCATTCCATCTGAAAGGTTAATATTTGTGACCATATGTGATCAGATTACGAAGTTTGATATTTTAACAAAAGTTTTATTTTTTGATTATTCAATCCAGAAAATGTTTGGTTGAGCCCAGATTTTTTTTAATGTCCAGTTTACACATATGCCCATTCACTTTGTTGAACCCCCTCCTAAATTGTTCACTGGCTCCTGTAGCTTATTGAGACAAAGCTAATCGGATTCACAATAATATCCTGTGTGGATTAAAGGTAATTTCTGCCACGTGCCATTCACATCTTTGCATGCTGTAAACTATTAATATCTATAAAGAAGAGCTTGGCTAATTAGCGACACATTCACAATGTCACCGGATAAAATGTTATCTGTCTAGATCCTCTTAAACGGACCATTACCTATTTTTAATATGCAAGGTGGGATAAATCTATTTCTATGAGATAAACTCACAAAACGGCCCATTCAAACCATCAAGCGTTGTTTGAGAGACGTTATAAGGATTCTATGTTCACAAGAGCGCAGCCTGACTACAACGCTGTTCGCAATGACTGCCATTAATTAATGTCGCTGTTAGGATTAGGGTACACTAGGGGGATTCAAGGAATTTAGGGTTAGGGGCACTATCCACATTTATTTACAGAATACCTGCACTCAAGATGTAATTTGCATTCTACATCTGGTTGAGTGTGATGAGTGAGCAATCTACAATATCTGTGGTTTCTGAGAAAGTTAAGGAGTTAAGGCATGGGGTAATGTTACCCATCATTATTAAATGTGACTAAAACCGTTGTCAACATGGGCTTCGATTTAATATTTTTGGATCAGTTTTACAAACGATCACAATCTGTTAGAAAACATTTTGAAATGATTAATCTATACAAATTCCCATAGACTTTAAAGATTACTTCTTTATTATTAAACTATTTGAAAGGGTTTCTTTTTTCTAGTAGATTGTGACCATTCGAAAAGCATCTCCAAAAATATTAAAGGGACAGTATAGTCACCTGAACAACTTTAGCTTAATGAAGCAGTTTTGGTGTATAGAACATGCCCCTGCAGCCTCACTGCTCAATCCTCTGCCATTTAGGAGTTAAATCCCTTTGTTTATGAACCCTAGTCACACCTCCCTGCATGTGACTTGCACAGCCTTCCATAAACACTTCCTGTAAAGAGAGCCCTATTTAGGCTTTCTTTATTGCAAGTTCTGTTTAATTAAGATTTTCTGATCCCCTGCTATGTTAATAGCTTGCTAGACCCTGCAAGAGCCTCCTGTATGTGATTATAGTTCAATTTAGAGATTGAGATACAATTATTTAAGGTAAATTACATCTGTTTGAAAGTGAAACCAGTTTTCTTTTCATGCAGGCTCTGTCAATAATAGCCAGGGGAGGTGTGGCTAGGGCTGCATAAACAGAAACAAAGTGATTTAACTCTTAAATGACAGTGAATTGAGCAGTGAAATTGCAGGGGAATGATCTATACACTAAAACTGCTTTATTTAGCTAAAGTAATTTAGGTGACTATAGTGTTCCTTTAATTTGAGGCAGTAGTCTGGTATGTGATCACTATTTATAAAAATCCGTCCAACCTTTATCTATGATAAAGTGTAGCTATTATTCATCACTTTAGAAATGTCCTGGCCTTATGTTTGAGAAAAAAAACCTCTTAACATATTATTTATTGTGTTTTACACCCCACCTCCTATAGACTGTAAGCTCATTTGAGCAGAGTCCTCTTCAACCTATCGTTTCTGTAAGTTTTCTTATAATTTTTCTATTTACAGTTAAATTCCCCCTCTCATAATATTGTAAAGTGCTATGGAATCTTTTGGCGCTATATAAATGGCAATAATAATAATAATTTACTCTTACAATGCCTGTCATGTATAACGTTGTCTAGATTCCTTGCACACATTCTCTATTGCAGCATGCCTTCCGGAGCTGTGAAGGCAACACATTCCCCATATTCTTTGAGTACATTTTTTCATGTTTGTATTAAAAAAGTGTATTATAAGTGTGACTTTGCTGTCAGTATAAGTATTAGTTAAATTTTTTGATTCCTAAGTATGTCACAGGCTATTTAACAGATTATTTTTGGGTATAGTTGTCTTAAAAAAAAAGCAAAAAAAAAAGCATAAAAGCATAACTAAAAATATATCTTAATAAAATAAAATAATAATAATTTAAAAAAACAGCAGCTGCTAATTCAAAAGTGTTTCTTAAACAACATGCAAGATGCTTAAAAATATAATTGATGTAATAGGTTTTTGAAGGTATTCCAATAACTAATTGTAATACTTTAATGTTGATTCAATCTTTTTATCTCTATAATTTGCTTATATAGCAGATTTCATATGATTAAATGCATTTCACAATGTGCCTGCATTTTGTATTAGCTTTCATTCAATGTGTTAACGTGTTTATTCTCTGCAATGCAGTCTTTATATAGATCTCTATATTCAAAATAAAAGAAAAATATTTATTATTATGTTTATTGTAATGTCTTTACTTTCTGTGTTCTTTATTTATACAAATGTAAATTTCAAGAACATAGATCAACTATTAATCTATAAATCTAATTTATAATTATTTTATAATTTATTTATTTCAATTTTCCTTTACAAAACGTACGAAACATTAGCGACATCCATACTAATATAGAAAGACATTAGCAAATGTAAACATTTAGCACTAATTAAATAGGACATGTAGTATTACATATATACATATATATTAAATATTGCTCATTATCATGTGTTTACACTATTGTTACTTGTTCCCTATTTCTTTACTAAATTATATTTTATTCATTAAACAAATCCATATACCAAAATAACAAAAACAATGGGCATGACAGAAATTTCCGTCCAACCGTCCTTCTAAGATTAAAGTTTTGTCTCCCATAATAGTCATCCTTCTTCACTATCTATTATTAATTTTATTAAATAGTTGGCTTTACTAGGATTCATTAGTATGATGTACTTAACAAACATACAAAAACAGACTTGTATTGCAGACTCTGCTTGGGGTAGTACAGTGGCACCTCTATCTTACTACCTTAAAAGAAATGGAAAGAAAAAGATGAAAAAACGCACATTATTCTATTAATTTTTGTCCAGGGTTTTATCTAATCAGACTCTCCATTTTTTCTTTCCAGAAATTGCTAACATCTCTAATTTTTATAGACTGGTATCCCAAGGATTCCATGGTTAATTGGTATTGGACTTGTGAATACAGCTGAGCATGCGTAAAATTTGCGCTACTCTTCCAATTCCTTGCGATTATTATTTTTATTGCTGCTACAAAATGGACATAAATAAATTTGTTCTTAAAGAGGAGTGATTGCAGATTTAGGTGAAATAGACCATTCTGGTGGCCTCTAGGGATTTTTGTTTCTGTAATATACTCCAATGACTCAAAAGCCATAAACCACAGAATTTTTACCTTACTACAGTCCCACCATATATGTCCAAAAGTCCCCTCTTTGTCATTACATCTCCAACACAGTGCGGAATTAGAAGTGTACATTTTGGACAGTCTGGTGGGAACTAAATACCAGCGGTTCATTAATTTAAATAATACCTCAAGAAGATTCAAACAATGGATTATTTTACTTGTTTGATATAATACTTGGTCCCATTCAGACTTTAGAATCTGTACATTTAACTCTTTACTCCATTTTTGAATATTTACATTTAAATTTGGTGCTTCGAGTTGAAGAAGAACAGTCCTTGCCTTTGAAACTATTTGCGTTACCCTCTCATTTTTTAATAAAACTATCAGGTTTTCTATACCGGCTGTAGGTCGGTGTAACAAAAACTGTTTAATAAAGCTTCTGATTCTTAAATAATTGTACCACTCTTTCCTAGATAATGAAAATTCTTGTGTCAGATTTTCGAAAGATTTAATTTTATCTCCCGTTATTATTTGATTTATATAAACAATACCTCTCCTTGTCCATTCACTAATATTTAAATCTTTCATCCTTAGTTGTATAATACTAAGGTTAAAGTTTCCCAATATTTTATTGCGGATTCCGCTATTAATCCTAAGCTTTTCCCACTCCATTAGAATGGATTGCAAGCAATTATTAAGAGTACAGGCCTTTTTAATTCTTTCGTCTTGATTAGTTAACCATATCAATTGATGTAAATTTTCCATTTCTACCATCTCCATTTCTAATTGATACCATCCAGCTTCCTCTGAACTTAATAATTGTGTCTTATATATATGAAACATCATATTAGCTAAGTAGATTGTGTTGACATTTGGAAAATTTATCCCTCCTTTCCTACTTTTCTGCATCAAAAGATGCTTATTCATCCTCGGCCTTTTTCCTTTCCATATAAAATTGTTTATGTCTCGTTGTATCATAGATAACCATGGTTGTGGCATTCTCAAAGGGATCATACGAAATAAGTAGGACCATTTAGGGAGTAAGTACGAGTTTACCAAATTGATTCTACCCCACCAAGATAATTCAGTTTGTCTCCATCTTTTTAGTGACTCATGTGTCGATCTAAATGTTTTCAAGAAATTTGTTTGGACCGTATCTTTTGAATCATCAGAAATCACTATACCTAAATAGGATAACCTGTTTTTATCACAGTTAAATTTATATTTATCTTTAATCTGTTGGATAGAGTCTCTAGAAATATTTATAGCTAAAAAAGTAGACTTCGTTGTATTTATTTTATAATTTGAAATCAAACTGTATTTGTCTATCTCTTCCATTAAGGCACTAAGCGATTCGACAGGGTCGGTTAGGGTCAAAATCAAGTCATCCGCATATAAATTCAATTTAAATTCTGTCTCTCTGTATCTAAATCCTTTAATTCGAGGGTGATCTCTAATATTGGTAGCTAAAATCTCCATTGTCATAATATATAATATAGGCGACAGAGGACAACCCTGTCTCGTGCCATTTTTTAATGTAAACCACTCTGAACATATATTTGGAGCCACTGTTCTTGCTTTTTGACCTTCATATAGAGCTAAAATAGCATTAAGCATCCTACCCTGGATTCCAAATTTTTCCATAGTTATCCTTAAAAAGTCCCAACCGACCCTGTCGAAAGCTTTCTCAGCATCTACAGCCAATACAAATAAAGGTTTATTATTTCTTCCAGATGCATCTATCAGATCCAATAATCTTCTAGAATTATCTACCGGATCTCTACCTTGTACGAAACCAATTTGATCATTTTTGATTATATGCTCCATTAATCCCCTTAGTCTATTTGCCAAAACTGATGAAAAGATTTTAACATCAGTGTTAATTAAAGAGATGGGTCTATAGTTCTCCACCTTTACAGGGTCTTTATTATCTTTTAAGATTGGAAGAATATTTGCACTTAGCATTTCGGTAGGAAATTTGCCAACTGATACAATTTCGTTAAACATATTTGTTAAATGAGAAACTATAATATTTTTAAAGGATTTGTAAAATATATTTGCAAAACCATCTGGACCTGGCGTCTTTTCTGATTTTAATTTGTTTATCGCTGCCTCTACTTCTTGGACTGTAATTAGAGTATTTAAATTATTACTTTGTTCTAATGTTAATTTAGGTGTATTGGTTTTACTCAAATAATCCTCTTCATTTATTATCGGGGGAGTTAGATTATACAAAGCCTCATAGTACTTATTAAATCTCTCACCTATTTTTTGGGGGTCTAAGTATACCCCCTCTTCATCCACTATCTTTATTATTTTGCTGGATCCGATTTTATCTCTTAATTTTTTTGTCATATTTCTATCCGCTCGGTTCCCCCTATAATAATAGTTTGCTTTAAGTTTATTCATTAATTTTGCATTCTTTGCTGTCAAAAAATTATTTATTCTATTTTGAATACTTTTCAATTCGTCTGCCTTTTCTTTAGAAGGAGATTGCTTATTTTTACTTGCGATCTTTTTTAGTTCTGCTTGTAATTCTAGAAAAATTCTATTGTTTTCTGCTTTATATCTTGTTTGTATACTTATAATATTACCTCTCATTGTGGATTTAAAGGCACACCAATTGTTTATATATGAGGTGTCATTAGGGTCGTTTTCAAGAAAAAAGATTACTATTTGTTTTTCTAGTATATCAAGATTAATCTTAGATTTTAATAAATTTTCCTCCATACGCCAGGTATCACGACCAATCCTGGTCCATTGATTCTTCATCTCCCACATATTAATACTGTGGTCTGACCAAGTATTATCCAGTATCTTAAAATATTTAATATTCGTCAATGCTGTCATATTGCCCCACACCATATCTATTCGGGAATACGAAAGATGTACACGTGAGAAAAACGTATATTCCAGTGAGTCAGGATTGGTCGTTCTCCAGAGATCAAAAAAATCAAAATCAATCCTAATTCTATTAATAGATCTTGCAAGTTTATCTGTTCTTTTTTGATGGAACAATGTTGAGATTGTCTTCTTATCTAATATCGGATCCAATACACTGTTAAAATCCCCAGCCACCAAACATGTGCCTAATTTAATAGAATCTATTAAACCTAACACCCTTTTTAGGGTTGGAGCAGGGAAGTCATTGGGAAGATATATATTGGTCAATGTATATGGTATCTCATTTAATTTACAACAGACTATTACATATCTACCTTCCTTATCCTTAATTTGATGTATTAAATCCACTTTTAGAGTGTGGGAAAAAACTATTGCTACTCCTCTTTTTTTTTTATCCCTTAATGAAGCATGTATCACTGTAGGAAATTTTAAACCACCCCAGCTTTGATTATCTATATCTGACCAGTGGGTCTCTTGAAAGAAGCCCACTTCCACTTTATTTCTCAACATATAATCGTATATTAGAGATTTCTTAATGGGAGAATTAAGGCCCTGAACATTAACCGAGATCATCTTTACCATTTTAATTCAAAAAGAAGAACCATTGTTGCCACTGACCCCAAGAGAGCTGCAATACATTCACACAAAACACAGATGGTCCATTGGACATAGACCCACATAAGCCTTATGGGAAAAACACCCAGTCTGGCCCGACACAGCCTGGCTTCCAAGTGGTTGTCTCTCGACTCACCACTCAGGAACCATCTGTGTCCTCGTGAAATGGTATTATAGAATACCATATCTCGGTATTTGTGTCAACACAGATGACACTCGGTGGGGCAATATAGAAGGGAGCGTCCGAAAATCATACACCAAAAAAAAAAAAACTTATTTTGCAGCCTGCGATCCTTAACAAGCTAGATATCTGGTCTTTAAAAATTTACAAACATTCCTTATATTGTGAAATCCGTGCGCCTATTTATAAAGTGCATTCCATACATCTTGTTCAAATTGTTATTACCACCATACCAATTATGTATTTTTCAAAAAATATATACAGTCTCTATCTCTTAGCTGTATTAAGTCCAACCATATATCCCAAATCTAGCCATGAAT